CCCCACCCCACCCCCAAAAATATAAGCTGAAATATGTTGTATCATATTGTTGTAAAATAAATAATGTTTATCTTTAATTCCTGTACGAGTTTTGACCGAATTGTCGCAAGAATGTATACGCTAAAGAGAAATAAAAATTGTAATTAATCCGTAACACAGAAAGACACGATTTTCTTCGTTGTATTTTTAGATATATTTTTTTCAATACATTAAAAACTCGTTGAGCTGGGCATGACTGACATTCAAAGTTGCGACGTAAAAGACAGTGACCACGCTTGCAACGTCAAATCTTGCACCACTTTATTTCATGTATGTCATGGTCATTTCAAAGTGGTATAGATTTGTGAATACTGATTCAAGTTTTTGTTGTAAACATATTTTTGTCACAGCTATAACCGGAAGAAAACTGTAGAGATGTTAGTCTTCAACTTGATACCATACTTAATAAACTGAAAAAGCTAGACAGCATAGAACGGAAGCTAAATCTGATGGATAGTCGAGTCACCAAAGCCGAGAGCCGCATCGAGATTGTAGAGGCTAAAACAGAAGAGTTGGAGCAAGCTGCGAGTTTTGTATCCTCAAGGCTAGACATTTTAGAACAGCGCAATTCCAATGCGGACAATGCCATTGTGACCGTCAAGGAACAGGAAAAGATAATCAGTGCGATCAGTAAGGAGCTTCATGACATTAGGTCCGATCGCGACGAGCTCCAGTATTCCGTGGTTCTGTGATTTACAATGTAGATCTATGAAGAACAACCTTGTGTTTTCTGGTCTAGGCGGGGAAACCCGTAACGACGACACAGAATCGCTTTTGCGGGACTTCCTGTTTTTTGAAATTGGTATCGATCGCCGGATCGAGTACGGTAATGTTCATCGTTTTGGCAAGTTCATCAAGGGCAAAGATCGACCCATCGTTGCCCGGTTCCTTTATAATGCGGATCGTCTGTTGGTACAACGCAACTCCCATCGGCTCGCGGGATCGCGATATGGAGAATATGAACAGTTCCCTTCAGTGATCGAGGAGCGTAGGAAGCAGTTGTACCCTGTTAAAAAGCAAAACAAACTTGCCGGCAACAACGTGAGACTAGTTTGCGACAGGCTATACATCAACGGGGAGTTGTACAACGGTGATGCCGTCCAGTCCAAACCCACGGACTGGACAATTGTTTAAATACCAGAATATTAAATTGGGAAAAAAAGTATGGTATTCTAACTGACGCACAGTTTGGTTTCAGACCTGGAATGTCAACCACTGACGCCATTTTTGTTTTAACAACCCTTATACATAAGTCCCTAAAAAAGAAAAAGCGTTTGTACTGCTGTTTTGTAGACTTTAAAAAAGCTTCTGATTTTGTTAATAGAAGCAAGTTATGGTGTAAAATGATCAATTGTTGTATCAGAGGTAAGTTCCTTCAAATTTTGATTGACCTATATAATATTGTTAAATCATGTGTTAAGTATAATGGAGTCCTAAGTGATAGTTTTTGCAACAAAATTGGACTTTTACAGGGCGAAGTACTGTCACCAGTTTTATTTTCCTTATATGTTAATGATTTTGAGATCAATTTCATAAAAGACAGTTGTCCAAGTGTAGAACTGCAACCTATAAACCTATTTTTGATCATGTATGCAGATGACATGGTGCTGCTATCAGAAACACCAGAAGGTCTCCAATCTATGCTGGACTTCCTACATGATTATTGTAACATATGGGATCTGGAAGTCAACATATCTAAAACCAAAATAGTTGTTTTTAGAAATGGTGGTAACTTACGAAATAATGAAATGTGGTCTTATAAAGATACAAACATTGATATCGTGGATGAATTCAAATATCTAGGTATGCTTTTTCATTATAATGGAAAATTTCTTAAAACATAGAAGCATGTGGCTGATCAAGGAAGAAAGGCACTGTTCGCCTTAACATCTTCGTTACGCAATTATTGTTTTAATATTAAAACTCAGTGTGCTATATTTGACTCTTATGTAAACAGTATTTTGTGTTATGCCTCAGAAATCTGGGGTTTCACAAAGCACATGATGTAAATAAAGTTCATTTAAATTTTTGTAAAAAAAATCTGGGAGTCAGACAATGCACTAATAATGATCTGGTTTATTGTGAACTTGGTAGATTCCCCCATATAGTCCAAAGGAAAGTGAGGATTTTTAAATACTGGTTAAAAGTGAAATGTAGCGATACCTGTATATTAAAAGCTTGCTATGACGAGCGTATAAGTGGTAACGATGACTGGTTAATTAATATTAGGCAAGAATTAGCTAGTATGGGTTTGGAGTATATCTTTGAGGAAAATTTACCTATTAATATTGCGGCAAAGATTATAGAACAAAGATTGCTCGATGTTTCACGACAAAGTATGTTAACAAATATTTCAAATTCTTCAAAGGGGTATTTATATCAACACCCTATGGACAATGTCGACTTACAGTTTTATTTGCGTAAGCCAATCCAATCAAAATTCAAGTGTCAACTTACTCGCTATAGACTGTCCTCTCACAGTTTAAATATTGAGGTCGGGAGGCGGAATAATATAAACCGTCATAATCGACTGTGTACTAGATGTAATTTGGGCGACATTGAAGATGAGTTTCATTTTATTCCCAAATGTCCATTTTATGAAAATCTAAGGTTAAAGTACATAAAGAAATATTATCGTTTAAGTCCGAGTGTGTTTAAGCTAACTCAACTATTAAGTACCAATAATGTAAAGGAACTTTTTAATCTTGGAAAATATTTACATTTGGCAACAAGTGTACGTAAAGAGTCACTCTCCTCTTAACATATGTCCATATGTTATTCTGTATTGTATTGTATAACATGTTGTACTTATCTTGTAATATATGTATTATACCCGAGTCAGTTGACTCGAGGTTAATAAAATAATAATTTAATCGAAGTTCAAAAGTACAGAAGTATTATTTGTACCATGGTCATATGGAACCCTATTTGTTTTACATTTCAGTATACTATTTGTGTATGACTTAATAACATATTTAATTATTTCCGTTTAAATGCGCTGGAATTTCCCTTTACAATCATTCTCTAACCCTAACCCTAACTTCTGAAGTGAAGCCAGATATAAGCAGTTAAAATTAATATACATATATATGTTACCCGCCGGTATCAATCTCAAAAGTAACGTTAGAAATTCTGACGTTGCAAGCGACGTCAGAAGTCATATAGCATACTTCTATGTATGACGTATCTTTAAAGTGGCATCAAATCATCAAATACTGAAGGACTGACATATTTTTTTATATCATTTTGATCAGAAATGTCTCTAGATTTCGAAATCATAAAAATCACAAAATTTATTTTTTACTACTTAAGGACCCTAATCCCAGCCGTCGGCTCATATATAACAAATATCTTTTTATAGAATGATTTACATGCTAGGAAGTAGAAATAAAGTTGTGTGACATGACAGTATTCAATGGTCATCCAGTCTTAATTTTAAAAGAATCTGTTAATTACCTTCTTACAGGGCGTGATTGTTTCCGACAGTTGGGAAAACTTCTGATGTTACATAACAAAAGGTAAACAGTCAAAACGTTTGTAAAGATATTTTGCTTTATGTCAATATGTAAAAGTTATACAATGCGTGCAGCATATTTAAAGACTGAACTTACAATACACGAGACACAATCTCGTCTAGGAAATGGGGTTATTTTTTGAGTGTCGGTTATATATTCCATGATGCAGATTAAAACAAAAACATTTAAGAAAATTTAGTAATGACTAAGTAAGTGATTTTAAGATCAACGTATAAAGACAATTGTGCGAACAAAATGATGACAGAAACAGTATTGAATATAACAACTAAAGCGTTTATAAACATATGAACGCATTGTTGTCGTATATCTACATAAGCACATAATAGTAAGGCACTTTTTGTGGTTAACATGTTCTTTGTAGTACGAGTAACATTCTAAGGGGAACACTGTTAGAATTGATATGTTCACAAATGTGCGTATTTCGAATGTCTGGTACAAGTGTAGCAGGAAGCATAAATTTTAACCCACGAACTATTCGATTCAAATAATCAGATATACAAAAATCCTATATAGGCAGGTCTCTGCCTGTTCACTTCTTTATTATGATGTCACAACTGCATGTCATCTCTTTATTATGATGTCACAATCACGTCATCTTTGTATCATGATGTCACAATCACGTCATCTTTGTATCATGATGTCACAAACACATGTCATCCTTGTATTATGCTGTCATAATCACATATCATTTCTGTATCATGTCACAATCACATTTCAGCCTTGTATCATGATACCACAATCACGTCATCTTTGTATCATGTTGTCACAAACACGTCATCTTTGTATCATGATGTCACAAACACATGTCATCCTTGTATTATGATGTCATAATCACATATCGTTTCTGTATCATGATATCACAATCACGTCATCTTTGTATCATGATGTCACAAACACATGTCATCCTTGTACTATGATGTCATAATCACATATCATTTCTGTATCATGTCACAATCACATTTCAGCCTTGTATCATGATACCACAATCACGTCATCTTTGTATTATGTTGTCACAAACACATGTCATCCTTGTATTATGATTTCATAATCACATATCATTTCTGTATCATGTCACAATCACATTTCAGCTTTGTATCATGATACCACAATCACGTCATCTTTGTATCATGTTGTCACAAACACGTCATCTTTGTATCATGATGTCACAAACACATGTCATCCTTGTACTATGATGTCATAATCACATATCATTTCTGTATCATGTCACAATCACATTTCAGCTTTGTATCATGATACCACAATCACGTCATCTTTGTATCATGTTGTCACAAACACGTCATCTTTGTATCATGATGTCACAATCACGTCATCTTTGTATCATGATGTCACAAACACATGTCATCCTTGTATTATGATGTCATAATCACGTATCATTTCTGTATCATGTCACAATCACATTTCAGCTTTGTATCATGATACCACAATCACGTCATCTTTGTATTATGTTGTCACAAACACATGTCATCCTTGTATTATGATGTCATAATCACGTATCATTTCTGTATCATGTCACAATCACATTTCAGCTTTGTATCATGATACCACAATCACGTCATCTTTGTATTATGTTGTCACAAACACATGTCATCCTTGTATTATGATGTCATAATCACGTATCATTTCTGTATCATGTCACAATCACATTTCAGCCTTGTATCATGATACCACAATCACGTCATCTTTGTATTATGTTGTCACAAACACATGTCATCCTTGTATTATGATGTCATAATCACGTATCATTTCTGTATCATGTCACAATCACATTTCAGCCTTGTATCATGATACCACAATCACGTCATCTTTGTATTATGTTGTCACAAACACATGTCATCCTTGTATTATGATGTCATAATCACATATCATTTCTGTATCATGTCACAATCACATTTCAGCTTTGTATCATGATACCACAATCACGTCATCTTTGTATTATGTTGTCACAAACACATGTCATCCTTGTATTATGATGTCATAATCACATATCATTTCTGTATCATGATATCACAATCACGTCATCTTTGTATCATGATGTTACAATCACATTTTATCTCTCTATTATGATTAATAGAATCTTCCCCTACCTTGAGGGTGTAACAGAAAAATCTCCAACCCGAGGGGTGATGTTTTTTGGTTGTCCAACCCGAGGCTATGGTTGGAGATTTCTCTGTTACACCCTCAAGGTAGGGGATGACTGGTTTTCTCCCATCCTATTATTTCAGTCACAGCTCCACCGACAGTTGTCTGCCATGTTTGTAAACAAAAACACCTGTGGGGTATGCATATCGTCATTCACTTTTGATGACGTTTACAATTACCGATGACGTATTTTAATGACGTCACAATTGAACACGTGCTAATCGGCACGTGGCTATCTCCCCCTAGGGGATGACAAGCTGATCTTTCCCGGCTAAATGGGAGACACACCTGTGAAGGATGGGATAATTCATAATCACTTCATCTCTATCATGATGTCACAAGCACATGTCATCTGTGTATTATATTGTCAATATCATCTTTTTTTCAACAATACATAGTCTCACTTTTGACTATATCATTCTCTAATATGTTCAATAATGATAATCATACTTGCCATCATGTACACTTTCGTTATAAATTACTGTTAGATTAGGAACCAATTATAAATGCAGTAAAAGACAATCCTAACTACTGATATGATATTGATTTGTATTTATTTAATAGTTGTTTCGATACATGAACTAATATGTTATTATACAATAAAGGTTAATATTAAAAAAAATGAAAAAGAAAACGAAAATTCCACAGAAACATGAGTATATTTTACAAATAACTGCGATATAAATAAAGACAGGTAGAATTTAAACACATGGTATTAATGAGTCTGTTTTACGGAAGCGTGGGGCCAGGGGGATCTGTTGTCAGCTGTGGTGAGTTCTGAGTTGATGGGGAAGCTGCAGAAGCATCAGGAAATCGGGTCTTACAGAAAGACATCTGGATCTGAATATAAGGAACAAATTAGTGTGTTTATTATAAATACATTTTAACATTACACTCATGGACAGTATTCGTATTTTTTACAGTCATCGTACATGAGTAAAATTCTGACATGATTAATTGATTATTTTTCTCCTTCAGTTTCCTACCGTACAAATAAGTTGCAATGGTGATATCAGCTTATGGTAAAAGGTCTAGTAGGCAAATTAAGTCATCACTCATTTGCGATTGATAAAATCTATTAACTGTAACTAAGCGTGATCGGGTTATCTCAGTCGATGCCTAAGATTCCGGACCATTATCTCAACCGATGCTTAAACTGGGGTTGCGATGTTACAGAATCTAAGCCCGAGACTGAGATAACCCGATCTAGCTCAGTTGCAGGTATATTTTTTTCTCTCGCACCTATTAGTTCGAAAAACTACTCAAATGCGCTTTAGTCTACAAGAACCCCACCAGAGCCTCAAATAAATACTGGCTCTCCTCACTTCTCCAGTTACGTTTGAAAGCTTCTGCGTGGAAATGCAGTCCCTCCTTATAAGGAAGGAAACGTATTTCATAGTGTAACTAATACTTCATTAACAAAATTAGGAATCTAAAAACAGTACACATAACAACAAAACAGAATATGAAACATGTAAGAGTTTATCACTTGCATTAGCGCGCATAGATATACATGGTTGTGTGAAAATTCCGCGAAATGTCGAGTAAAGGTACCAGACAGTTAGGAAGAGAAAGAAATATATAGAACTTGGTGTGACATGGGATATCTTTATCTGAGATGCGATCTTATTTGTGAGAATGGAAATCTGAACCATCTGGATAAGATTCCTGAATTGACCGCCGGCTGGTAATTCATTTGTCAATATCCGTTTACCCTGCTCTTATTTAATTGACTTTTAACATGAGGAAGATCATCCGAATAGAAGATAAATAAATCCATTTTGCGAAGTTACTAATTTTAATAATGTGCTATATTTTACATCCAAAGAGCGAATAAAACAACAAAATCTATTACTGGACATTCACACGACTGCCTTTACATAAGGCTGGCCTCCTTTCACTATATCAATGTTAATGCTATATTTTACATCCGGAGGTCGAATATAACAACCAAATCTGTTACTGGACAGTCACACGATAGCCTTTACCTAAAGCTGGCCTCCTTTCACTATATCACATTGATCCGCATTATTTAAATTATATCACTTCTTACCTCGTCGATGTAGGCCTTTACTCCATCATTATCCCGGCAACTTCCAATCTTTAACGGGCTTAATCCAATTTTGATTTTACCTATAAAGCAAACAAAAATATAATAGTAATAAACTTCTGATTAATACTATATTTAATATTGTACTTAAATTTTCCTCCTAGCGTTTTCTCCATTTCTTATATTTCGTCTCTGTTTTTTTGTTTTGGTACGTTTACTATTTTTTTATGAAATCTATAGTCTTGCAGGAAAAAATTCAAATGCACAATTGAAGGTTTTGGCAGGGATGCTTTGATCTTTATCTGTTCACAAAGCGAACCACTGCATCAGTTATAATCTCAAACCGAGTTCCACCCTGAGGTTTTGTATTACATGGATTGTTTCCCCTTCTATAAAGAAGATGAAGCAACCGAAAATGTATTCATTCTACCTTAGAGCAACCTTATAATGTCAGGTTTTGAATATGCTTTGCAGCCAGTACATCGGACACTTATTTTGATACCATGGTTAAATAGTCTAGGCTTTGCAATGTAAAGGTCTAGAGTTTGACTCTTTTTTCTTCTTGCGTATGTTTTTCATGATATTCATGAAATATTGCCTTTGAAATGGGCTTGAACAATAATTTCACAAAAGTCACAATGATAATATCAAAGTTGGCACGCTATACCTCAACACCATATCGTTAAGATATCTGTGCGATGTCTACGACAAATTAAAGTTTATCAGGGTCTTTTTCAATCACTTGATCGATATTTGCATCGCTATATACTGTAGACGTACCTATTTTAGCGGTAATCTGATTTTAGCGCATTTCGCGATTTAATTCTCGTGCAAAATTATGATTGTGCTAAGTGAAGTTTCTGTTTATTGTTTTATTTTGCATAGACTGTAGAGGCGTCAATTTATCAATGTTCTAATCTGTTAAAATTCGACAATACGTTAAACTGTGAGTGTGTTTAAATAAGTACGCTTAAAATATTTCAAGAGCAGTGTAATTTTAAATCATGTATTATGTCGAATGTACCTGAGAATGGTGCATTGTCCGTAGCTTCTCGTAAAATTTTTGTGTTTGGTTCAACGTACTGCAACTTGGCAAACATCGATCGTCCATTGAATAAGAAGAGCACGTTACTCCATGTTTCGTCCTATAAAATCAAACATTTAAACATGACAAATTTACAACCTTTGGCAACAACAGATTATTCATTCCGGAAATAGAAAGAAAGAAACGTCAGCTAAACAGTTTCAGTCAACATCGTGGACTGATAGTCTGCCAACAGGTTCAGCCACATTGTTTCTTAACATAGAAATATAAAGTGAAAAGCCTCTATTCACAAACAATGTTTGCAGATGCAGAACGTTAATATTGAAACTGATGAAATATGACAAAAACATTTTAGAACTACTTACAATGTACGGTACGGATATTTGGCTATCCACCTCAAGGTTGTTGACCGCGCGGAAGTAAATTTTCTTTTCGAGAGGTGCCAGATAAACTTCAAGGGACGGAGAATCAAGCACTTTAGCGTCAGACTGACAATTAGATAAGAGTACTTGTTTGGTTGAGTCGCTTGGTAGGGGGAATATCCTTAACTGGAAACCAAACATACGGGACATGCGGTCATTGTTGTTGTAAAATGGTATCTGGATCCGTGAGCTTCCTAGAAAACGACCATAGCCGGACACCTGTAACACGTTGTGGCTTTCGATATGGATACCGGAGTCGGCCATGTTTTTAATCTGGCCTTCGTCGGTCTTTCCAAAAAGTACCTGTACTTCAAGACGGCATTCTGCAAGTGAAAACAAAATCAAGAATAATAATCTTCCCCTGAAACTCTATCAATTATATCAGACCATGTATTGCATTCGTTGAAATTATCTTTATAATGGATCAAAACGTTCCATTAATTTCCTGGAATACGTCGTTTCCGAGATACAAGTTTCCAGAACGAAAGTCACGTGATTTGGTGTTCACGTTGTTCATTGGGTAGAGGGGGGGGGGGGTTAGTGAAGGGATTATTCATGCTTCCGGTATGAAGGTAAATTTGTAATAGGCCAAATTAATCGCAGTGTAAGATTAGTTGATTTTGAAGCCTTCTTAAATGGGATATCTACTAACTAGTACCCGCTCAACCGATATACATTCGGAAACCGCATACGAGTTTTTCTGTATATTTATTCAACTGCTGTAAGATTGGCACTGTTAACCGAAAGTACATATGCCCAGCTTCCCTTTCAAGTGACATGAAAAAAAAATTATCTCGAAAACGATGTATCGTTAACTATTCAGCAATATGTACTTCATCGTATCACAAGTAAATCTGCTTATGCGGCCGTTTTCGGAAACAGTATACCCTTATTTATTTCAAAACCCAATTTGTTGGTTTAAATAGGCTTTATTCGATGACCAACATTCAGGAGATAGTACGTTGTTTAAGTGGCTGTACTTGCGATTAGAACATGAAATGTGGTTTGAACTCGAGACCGATAGGTCGAGATTTAAACCAAATGTCAAGTTCTAATCGGCGTATAGACACCAAAACCAACGTACTATCCCCCCTCTAACACATCTTAACAAATATACTACGCTATTATGTTTAGAAGATTGTATTTTCTTGCTACAAGTACGTACTAAAGTACTATGTGACCTGTGCTGGCGTCATTCTTAATGGACTGACCATTCAGAAAGAAGCATTCAAACGTCTGGCGAGCACTCGATCTTTATGTTGACGAGGCGGAGCATTTGGTTTGGTCGTGAACGTCCTACTACCAAAGTTTATAGGACACTTTTTGATTAACATTGACAAAATTCTTACATTTCCATGTCAGTATGCATGCCAATCTGTGCGTATCGACAAAAACGGTAATTATTTGATTAGATTTATGAAGATTTTTGTGAAATGTTACATTTGATTTCGGATCTAACTAGATGCCTTCACACGGATGGAACGAACGTTTCAGTAATAAATGAAGGTAAGATCAATTTCACTTTTTGTTTTAATTCAATTTCAATAAATTCATCGGTCCTTTCTGTTTTGTTTTCTGCTAGCCTTATCAGCGGGATTTTGATAAGAGACGAGCTTGACGCCATATTGTTTTGGTTAGAAACAGGGCGTAGCTTTCTCGCGATGGGCGGAGCTTAACACGATTGGTCGTGATTCTACCGCAGATAAGAACAGGGTCCGTATCCAATCAAAACACCCCTTGCAAACGAATTGTGTAAGAATGGACTGTTAGAGGGAAAAACGATTCCTTGGTTCCCGAAGTTGATCATGTTTCGCACTGGCGAAACCGATATGAGAGGAAAACACGATTTATGATAAAAAATTAAAAAAAATCAGAAATGATTTTTTTTATAAATATGTTATGTATGTATGACACACGTGTACTAAAACTAAACTGTGCTGCGATTGGTCGGAACCGTGGAAAGAAATTCCTACGCAACTAAAGGAACTGCTTTTATTGACTTTACCATATGATACAATTACTGTTATTTTAAATAAATTTTAAATGCTTATATCGCATTAAAACTTTTCATTATTTAAAGAAAACTCTTGAACTGCTTTGCTCTGTGCGGAACGAAAATACTATGATCGGATTACTTTAGGTTTTACCTATATCGAATCAGCAGCTGACACATAATCGTGTTTTCAAATTTCAAGTGTTGAAATTATGAATGACATGATAGATGGAATCTTTCATTTGTGTCCATGTCATATTAAATTTATCAAACTCGTTCAATAATTTGATTTGGCACTCGCCTGAGGACTCGTATCAAACCAAATTATGGAACTCGTTTACTAATTGACACTCATGTTTGATCCTCTGTTGAAAACATTTGGACATGTATTTCATCATCATCATCTTTGGACTGTGGAATATAAAATGAATGCAAAATGCAGTTAATCGTTCATTGGCTGGATTGTGTTAGAAAAGAGATAGTCTTAATAAGATTTTCCACCATATAGCGGTGACCAAGTGGTTAAGACGTCTGACATTCTGCTACCAATAGCCTTCTTCCATTTGGTCGGAGGTACTGGCCGTAGGTCGTTGGGTTTTTCTCCGGAAACTCCGGCTTTCCCCCACCACCAGCACCTGACACGTCCTTAATTGACCATAGCTGTTAATATAACGTAGACAATAGGACGTAAAACACAAACAAGCAAACAAATTCAACATACGAGGAGCTTCTCCGGTGCCGATACAACCACAAGACGCCGCATTAAACCTCGTGCCTAATCCGCAGGTCATAGTGGTTCCCTTGCTAGCTAGATTGTAGAACGACCTTCCGTCTTTCCCGGGCCTTAGTTTACACCCTTGTAAAAGATTTGTAAAAGAAATAAATACAATCATGTAAAGTAGATTTGTAAAAGATGTACATTAATGACGTTGCCTTACATGCGTCAGTTGAAGGGCATTTCCTTTTAGCTCAGCGGTGAAACAATTGCAGTAAGCCTGTCCTTACTTAAATTACTTTCTACAATGATAATAATAATAAAAGAAATTATTCATTGATGATAAATACATGTTTAGCGATTGGCTAATATTTCACGTGGTGTTCAAAATAAGAATAAAATTGAAGATTTTAGGCTATTGGTTGAAAATCACATACAAAACAAACGACAAAAAAGTAATTAAGTTTTCTCTGAGACAACAAATACGTTGGGTAAGTCATTACCTGCTTCACAGACGTAACGGATCTCGACCTGTTTAGCAATATCAGGGCAGTGATCAGACAGGACACTCGGAATGTGAACCTCGCAAGATTGTTTGTCGTTACAAAGTGGTCCGAGAACATGCATGGCTTTAATGTTGGGACATGATGATGTATCCTGCTCGATCATACAGGTCATAGGATCAGCGCCACCGTAGACAGCCGAATGTATACGAATGACGTCACCGGAAGAGCAACGTAAGGTACTTTTTTCGTTCCCACACACTACCTGGACCCTTCCGGTAACTAGAAAAGATGAAAACATGAATTAGATATAAACACTATGCTTTATTTAGCAAGTGTATATCCTATATCTTCAACGTAATATTAACAATTGAGTACCAGACACTTTCCAATATATTATAGAAAGCATATAGCATTCCGTGTACTTTTCGGCAGTATTATTTTCACGATTTTTGCGGAAGGATTCAACCGCAAACTCAATAATGCAGCAGCATGTTTCATTTTCAGAAGATCCCATCTCGAGAGCTAATACAATTACAATACAAATAAAAAAGTGCTTTATTGACAAATATCCTAACGAATTAAACGGCTATAGTCAATTGAAATAGCATTAAATGCACGCTATAATCAGACTTTAGATTTACAATGTTGTTACGGACACATACAATGTTTCATGGTTTAAAATATCACAGCGGTATTTCAAAACAGTATTTTCTATAGGATTGAGCCACAATAATGAGTTAAAATATTTGTCTGTTTTCAAAAAAATAAATACATTGATCTCTTTTCCGCGAATTCTGTGCTGCGTGAATATAAAACAATTAAGCGAAACCCCTTGCTAATTGAAAGCTTTAAAACAGATATCAAATTTTGATTGTTATCAATACAGTTATACGTACATGTCCACTGTCCAGTTCTGACGACCTTATATCATAATGTTTGCTTTGTAACTGTTTACTCTTTCTATTACCAGTATGCAGAAGGTAAAGGGGGAAAGTATCCATTTTAACATTGTATTTTACTCGGCCGATTTGTTTTTTCCAAGTAAATATATAAGCAACTAATGTTAATTGAACTAGCTTAGCAATTAAATTTATAAAGTATAGTTGCAATTCAAAGAAATCTTAATTAAGCAAACTAGTATAACATCTAAGCATTGCCAGCCGACAAATCCGTGGTGGGTGGAGAATATAGCTAGGCACAAATTACCGGGACGTAATAGTTAAAAGCTAACTTTTATTGCAACTTTACAATTCTTAACATTTGAATCTTCAACCAACTTGAGATAACGTTCTTGCACTCTGTGTATGGTTCTCATTTAAAATAGTTCAAGTTTGCAGTAGTATGAATAAGGAACTACCCTTTTTACGAAATATCGATAAAAAAACATTTAAACGTATTTGCTGTTAAGTTGACAATGCTTCATGCTTCAGGAAATTAATCCTCACAGCTCGTCAGGTCTGACACGTTTTTGATTGACAGTCTAGCGTCCCTCCCCCAAACTCTTCACCTTTACACACACAACTGTGCTAGCACAAATCTATCAATCCGAAAACCTATGCCGACTCCGCTATGATAGAATCGCATAGGTTCAATAAACTGACCTATTCACTAAACTAAAACAAAGAATGACATAGTACACCTCAATATATCTTAATTACCATGGATCATTTCGTCTAGTTTGTTAATGCATTCAGAAACAATCACAATGTCAGAATGCCAATCCCCGAAACGCCAACTATACCAAACATATACATATAAGAAATGACGACGTGGTCTATTTATTGAATGTATGCAGATGTGCATTGTAATTTAGGTTGTAAGAAAATGCATCAGTGCTTGATGAATGATCTTGTAAGTAATGAACTAAACAGATTTCAAGTGGATACCATTTTCTTAATGTTTTACCAAAACAATCAATAAGTTAAAAGTACATGTATAGATAAACGTCGGCAAAAAGGTGAAAACAATAGGTACAGTAACACAAGATCGATGTGCTTGATTTGTTAGAGAAATACCATTCGTCGTCAATCTATTTCATTCGTATTATTTTCATCTATAATTAATGTATACTTAAGTATGAATTTAACAATCAAAACACCTAATCGTGTATTTTCCCCTTTAAACTGACAAAATCGGCAAGATGAAACTTTTTTTACATATTATTAAATGTAATGTTATCCATACTCTTGCAGTAATTTACTATTTATGCTTTACAAATGATGTTTAATTTTGCCATTTTAATTTTCGCAATATAACATATACTGTATTTAATTTTTTCAAATCCACATTATCTAACATTTTTGATTTATAATTTATATTTGAGAAGTTGTCTATGGTGTATAGTTTAAGGTAATACCAACACATACTACATACAACAAAAGAAAATTAACATATCTAGTGAAATAGGTAAAACCATTTCTACATTGCTAAGTTCAGTTTAACTCGAATTAATATTTGCCCATTAGGACAGGTGGCAGTATATTTTGTATTGTAAAATGTAGCTTGCCAACCCATCTATTTGTTGATTTCCCACGTTAAGCTTTCTTTGCGATAACCCATAATTTTCACGTTATTGTCTAACTAAATAAGATTGATGGGTGCCCAAAATGAAGTTAGCAAAAAATGTGCTGTGGAAGTTTTTGCAAAACAAAATAAGCCTAGGTATATTTCAAGGAAATATGAAAGTATACATATTATATATATGCTTCTCTGTTGATTTATGTTAAAATCACATCCAAATCTTGAAAGTTACAGTACATTACCTGTCGATTTGTATGGTTTTAAACACAAGAAATATATAAAATAACTATTATGGACAAATTTGTCTCAGAATACCGCTACATTCACGGCTCTTTTACAGTTTTAAGGATTCACAATCTATGCAATAGCAAAATGCTATCTTAACCTAATTTAATCATAGCTGGAGCTATCACAGGTCGATTAGGGACAACAGAAACTAATAGAGCAATTTATATATTTTTATATCTCCAAGGCTTTTACACTAAAACACAATAAGTATTTGTTCGAATTCTAATTGATGTACAAGTACCATGCACATTTGTGATGAACGTTGATCAATGGATACGTTTTCTCCATAACCGAACCTAATAAGAAGGCTTTAGAACAATTTTCCAAGTCAATTGCGTTGTACAAATTTGAGTTAACTTTTTAGTTGACACAATTGACTTGCATGATATATTCTATTTTTCTATCATTTCCAGTAGCGTAAGTCAAATAAAAGTTAAGCTTATAATTAAAACCTTTAAAGAGAGATTAGACAAAAATATTTACGTGGATTTTGTTTTACAAGTTTAAAGATAACGATACGATTAACTTTTCAATTACATACTTTTAAATAACCAGAAACACTTAAGTCGACGGAAAAACCATAACAAAACTCGAACATTTAGGAAATAAACAATAACAATATATCATTTTAACGTAATTATGTACAATTTGTTGTTGGTATATTTTGAAAGATGTAAATAATGCATGTGAAAGTACCTATACAAGTTAGTAATAGAAATGGTATTTCAAAAAAGAATGACACTGCACAACACATCTGTTTTGTCTCTTTCAATGATAATGATAGGGCCGAAAAGTAGGAAATCCAGATTGATGTAAACTATTGTCAAGAGAGAAATGGATGCCATAAAACCCTTGAATTAAATGCAATTCAACTATTTGAGGATGAGTATATTATAAATTCTGCCACTATTGCAAAGAGATTTGTGTGTCCATCGAGGTAACGTGGACGGCAAACCTTGCGGACACAGAAATCCATCAGCAGAATCTACCACGTCTATCTTCACAGACGAATGTAAGACACACACATGTGCTTGCATTAATCAAAATTGATGATATATAATTATATTTTTGTCTATAGATAGTACTTACCTGCTGGCCCACCAGATTGAGAATACAGTGTACAGCTATCAGTACAGTTGGCGTCTGCTACACATTCACTGCGATCGCTATTGTAACTAGTTCCTTCTTTACAACACAACGCTGTTGACAATCCGTCAATACACTTCCAGTAGTGGCGACAGTTCCCATTGCCATCAGCGTATGACGTCGGGCTACGGACTCCTTTGCATGGATCTGGATATTAAGAGCGATGTTGCATTTAGTATGTAAATATAGGTAATTCGCCATGTTTGAGTTTCACCCTTGGCATAAATATACTACATTGTCTATGTATATTATATTGTCAACCTATATTCGCTATAATGTCAAATCACTTTCGTCAAAGTATTAAAAATATTTACATAACCCAGGACATGCCACAATTTTATGCATGTACATTAATGCACAACTTTATCTCTCTTTTAACAATTTTAAATAAATTGCCACTGTCTAATGAGAAATTCTGTTAACTCAAACGCTGTCGTTCAAAAGAAAATATATCATCATACGATAAATCACGTAATGCATGTTTATTAAAAAGTTTATTACAACAGATAAAAACGTCAAGTGGAATGATTTCTTCCTTTCTCTTTAATTCATTTGGAGAATACATCGCAGTTAAAATATCATCCTGGTGATAAATGTATGTGAAGCTGTGAATTCTTATCCGTGAATGATTGTAATGGTAATTTGTCTTGTGAATACTTACCTCTAGGACACCGGACGCGTGAGGGGTAGTTACATATGTTATTATCAACATCGAAGAATGTTCCGAACGAACAGCGCATTATTTGCCGCCTTTTATTCTGGCATATATTAAACATTCGGCAGTCGTTCGCGTCGGGAGCGAGACATAAGTTTGCACCTTGACACCTACTGCAAACATCTGAAAATATAAATGTAAATCCTAGTAATAATTGTATTTAACATTACCAGGCACTGCACTATATATTATCGTTGAACATAACACTGTTACAGCACTGTATTTCCCCGTTGAACCTCATAGTATACTGACAGGCAGTTGCAACCTGTTCACGTTTAAGCACGTACCTTTTTATAAACAGAAAAATGCTTTTATTGCTAAAGAATTGAGAGGCTCCTTGGTGCATGTACATTAATATCATAGTGTATTCCTTAATAGGATATGGACAATGCATTTGAAATACAGCGGGCACAAGCACATGAGTTTGTTTATACGTAAGTCTTACCATATATATCTTAAACGTTAGAAATGTATCAGAAAATATAAAGGGGGAGGGAGGCTGTCAATTCTCTCTTCTCTTGGGAGCACATAATGTTCAAAAGTGCTAAACCAAGAGACCCATACCTGGAAGATTTTCCATTCATTATAGATACAGATACAGGTGGAATATATAATAATTTTAATTTGAAAAAATTGGGTCATAATTGATTTGGAGATATTTCAAACCATGCTGATGTTTACAAACCGATTTGAATCCATTTTATACAAGAGTTATAGGATTTAGTGTTGTATATATGCTTTACCGAAGAATGTTTATTTGCTGATAAAACGTACACACAAAAATAATCCGTTGAGGATCAGGTTAGAATGTTAAAGCACATGCATGATGTTATTAACTTAAACAGCAAGTCTTGATAAAGCATTTAAATGGACAGGATTGACACTTTTATTTGAATAAAGCTATCATAATATATATCATTACACATTGTGTATGTTATACACGATAAGCCTCGGGCCATTGTCTGAAATGATATATGGAAATTATAAAACGTATAATTCATTTTCTTTTTGTCTTTGAGTACATGCTTACAAGAACATTACCATTTATGATGATTCAAATTAAAATATAAGGGCGTAAAATATTTCATACCATTCCACTGCAAACCTGTGTCAAAAGGTTTTTTTCAAAACAACATGCATCGAAAGGTAAAAACGAAATCAAACATCAACATTAAATAAGCGGCAGGCATGCTGTGTTAATGCAATTCAGTCTTACCATCAAAGAACAACAGACAAAAGAAATTAAATATCAATGTAGTATACATTATGCAAAACAGAGAAACTGAAATATGAATACAAGACTTATGTGTACTTGTGTGAATAAAACGCTGTCCAGACTGATATAAACTTTTATTACTGAATTACTATTAGCATTTAATATTTAAATTAGATGACGTCTGAAAACCACAAGTATCGTACTGTCGTGTATTTACAGGTGAGCTTGTGTCACCTACGACAGTGTTTCGTTGATAAAATGGTTGTTATTTGTGTACTATAGTCGTGTGTGTGAAAATCCCACATGAATATATATATAACACAGGTGCTTTGCATGACATATAACTGACCTTGTCCGTACAACACAGGAAAGAGGGCTAGTATTAGTACTAGTCCGGAGTACATCTTTTACCGGTGTTTCATATATTCTTCAAAAATACTGAAATTCAAGCAAGCCATTTTTATAACGAGACAGAATGTATATATTTTTTCGTTTATATGTTGGGATTATATGATTATTTGAATGACAGCAAGTTGATTTATATAATTGTATATAAAGTTAAATGAACTAGTGGATGTGTCCTGAGAATATTCATAGATACACAGATTGTTTTTATCTTGTCTTATGAGATATTCTGTTAAAATCATATTGCAGAATTTACAGAAGTTTTAATCAACTACATCAACAATCAACTTCTGTTTTATAGAGAATATCGCCAAAGGTAATCAATAAATAAAGCAATTAAGGAAGAAAATAAAGTAAATTGGTATTGTTGTAATTGAAATTTGCAAATAACATATATCATAATTGAATTAAGTTTAGTTACATCAGTGTAATACCTTACATCAATAGTATTGCAAGTTATGACATTGTCGCAATATCTAACAAGAAAATATAATTGTGAGATATATCTTCCTTGTGATACACGGTGTAAATAAACAGATAAGAATTCATAAACGAATATTCACAATGCGTAAAACAATGATAATTAACACTCACCTTCCTGTTTGCGCGGTGTTTGTTACCTGTGGCTAAGTTTCGTTCTCGGCTTACCTTTATAACGTACGTCGTCGCCGTAATTATGAGAAACAACCCAACAGATCAGTCGTTACTCAACACTGGTTGAGGAGATAATACAAGGGAGTGAGGGGAGAGAGTATTGTTATGACGTGGCTTCTCAGGTAAAAAATACAATGGCAGGAATGTACAAACAGCTAATGAGTTAAAACGTCTCTGCATCGCGTTAGAAAAGCTTGATAAGCTTACTGCTATGCAAGGAAAATACAGATTTAATCAATTTTCTTTGGTATTATACGAGAAATTGAAACAAAATATCAGATTTAAATTCAAATACGCACATAATTGCCGAGAAATGACGATATATATCAAAGTATGCACGGAGCGTTTGTATTAAGCTGTACAGTTTTGTTTTTTAATATTACATCAAGCTTTTCAACCTCGTCAGAACAGATTATATACATTCATCTTCAAGACGGATGTGGTGTCGCCGGCCACGGTTCTATCTTGTAGTATTGCCTTATCGCCGACCGTCACAGTTAGGTGAACTCGCCATACGAACCTTACCATTAAAACTTGTCGATCTGAGATCGGTGTGTCAACGTTAGGGTAATTAGGCGTCGTCTTTAACAGTCAGGGGATATGTGTTGTACCTGATGACGAGCAGAATGAAGATTTATTTTTGATGTCATGGATGACTACAAAATATAATATATATTAGGGTGACTTCATAAATACAATGCTGGTTAAACTTAATGCGAATGCTGTTGAGGTAAATTGTTTGGTTTATAAGTGACAATCTGAAAGTGACAACTACAGATGTCGCTGTTGCTCCATTTGCAATTATTTGATTAAAAATACATTGTTATTGTAAACTAATAAAGAACTGTCATAGCAAAGCTTAACCCAAAAGGGGATACGTGTTGTCAAGCGTGACGTCATTAAAACCCAGTGATAGATATATGTACGATGATTCGAGTTCTCGCATGTTCTTGCAGAAGTTATGTTTTCGTCGTTTTACTTTAAAAAAATGCAATAAATAGAAAAGTTAGGTATTCATTGGGAAAGCATTGAGGTACCCTATATTTATAACATATTTGCTAATGAAATAGACTTATGTTGATCACAACTATTCGCATGTAACTAACGGATACAATCATTACTTTGACCAATTCAATAATGCTGCATGGAACCTATTCCGTCTTTGCGTATTGAGAGTTATCTTCTCTTGAGAGCAGGTATTGATTGTTACGTCATTTGTTTGTGAGAGTAACGTCATCAATTCTTGAGAAAACGACGTAGTTTTCTCACACAAACCAATGACGTAAAAATCAATACCTGCTCTCAAGAGAAGATAACTCTGCAATACGCAAAGACGGAATACTTTAATAGCCAAACTATGATAACTGCCAAAACCTTTTTTCAGGATGAAGCAAATTAGAAATTCGGAGTGCATGATTACGAATAAATGCTATCCGAAGGAAGAGAAACAATTAACGACAAAGCTGTCACACAATTACGTATGCATGTAAATGTTTTCTTATATTCCCCATTTTTCTATTTTTTTAATTTATTAATTGGAGACAATGTTCCCAAAAATGTCACTTAACCCTATATGCTTGAGAAAACACCAAGAAAAACCGAAGTAACAATAAAACCATACTTTGAACTCGCAGTCGATAAAACTGGGACAATAAACGATTAATGGAAAGATTTACAATGAGTACCTTGAAAAATTACAAAGATGATATAACCATGTGTTCAGGAAGGGTAAGCGTCTTCTTCTTCATCGACGACAGCCACCAGGTAATTCTTTGCTAAACCCCAATAATGCCAGCTCATGATAGCAAGAGCTGGATAAGAGACAACCAAAACAAAAATGAGCATCACCAAAAACATTAATCTTCATATAGCTTATAAACAAAGAGCAAATTTCTCATTAAGATCACAATAACGGCCATAAAACTTCATCTTTGGAAAAATAATGTACCAAAAAACCTATGATTTATAAAGCGAAAATATGCTTGATTTAGTATTCTAGTTCAAGATATATCGACACCAATATCCGTCCTCGGTTAAAAAAAACAACACAACTTTATCGAGCTATTTAAGCAAGGAAAGGTCATTAGCTACTATTGAAAAGGACGGAACTATAGACACATATATGCATATATAGTGACACTCTTGTCCACAACAAAATACGAAAGAAGTCTTAGAAAACGGCCAGGTTTTAATACAGATGGTCAAGAGCATCAAAGGTAAACGTGTATGTTCATTATTTGTTTTAATAATTAAAACCATGTCTATTTGAACTCCTCGACATATGATGGTATTCCTTTGAATCAATGGTATAAACAAACATTTTATAAATAAAAAACAAAATGTCGATGTCTGAGAATTTCCCAAATTCATCAAGCACTATGAACCTGTACCTATCTCATCATAAGTATCAGTAATATATATATATATATATAAGCTCGCTGTCTTTATTGATTGGTAAGTTCGGTTTCCGTTTATAAGGCAGGGGGAGGGAAAGGGAAAGGGACAGACAGGTTTGTAGGGAGGAAGAGATGGAGTAGTCTCATGGCCACCTCGAACAAAATATTTCAGAAATTTAAGAGTAAAAACCTTAGCCTTAGTTCTTATCTCTTAAAATGTAGAAAAACAAACGAAAACGATCTTCTAGGTTTTTTTCCTCAAAAATATCTGAATGTCAAACGGACACTACAGTGTACCTGGTACTATACTAATTCATAATTTCGCACAAACAATCAGTGATGCTTATATGTGCAAGTTTTATCGAGTCACTGCTAGGTAAAAAGGATGTCCTTTCCCAGACAGTTTCGCTGAAATTTCAAAAACAATTATATTCCTGCTAAATTAACCTTTTTTTTATTGATAGTGAAATAAGTGATGTTGTTTGCCTTTCGATATAAAGATTTCGTGATCTTTTTCTTCATAACTTTAAACATACCCTAGTTTCTCCTTCTTCCGCTTGATAAATTTACATTTACCCATAGGATGGCATAATGATCACCTCACTCTCGAGGTATTTGAAAAAACTTGAGAGCTTTTATTTCACGACGGTTCCGCTGTTGTAATATTGCAGATACCTTTGACTAATAGAGTGTACATGTCACAGCTGCTAGGATGTTCAAGAGTGTTTAGGTACAATTTCGTTATGTACGTGATATAGTTAGGTTTACCAATGAATAGCCGACCTAGTGTTTTCTATCGAAGAAGCTTCAAACTACGATGAGAATTGATATGATCGTCATCACTATCAAATACTTGATTACATCGTTGGTGACCTACAGTTTTCCTCGATTTAGCATAAAAGGGCGACACCACGACATATAGATGATACCATGGCAGGCGGACGAAAGAATAACGGTTGCTATATCTTGCGCAGGCAATCAGAGCATTTGGTTTCACAATCAGTATTTTTGTAGGACTTCAAAATAGTTTCCTTTTGTTTTTGGTGTTTTGTATCACAGTTCCTAATTAGGTTTCTTTTAAGTGTCATTTTGTTGTCTTATTGGTTTCCCTGTTCGTACCATCTAAGTTCCTATTTTTGGTGTCTTCTATGTATCATGTTGGTGTCTTCTAGGTTCCTGTTTAGGCGTCGAGTCAGTTTGGTGTTTTTAAGCAACTTTTGGATTTTCTCCTTGTGTATTCGTGGTTTGAACATTGCTTATGATTCACTTCATAAAAGTGTTAAAGCACCAGTAATTTATACAAATCGAGAACGTTTAACTCATTTATAGCTAGAAAACATTGCATGATTATATATTAAATCCAACATATAAACTGTGCCACGTACTTTGACGTGCCAATTTTACTGCCATTATCATAATAAAAGCAAACATAATAGGACGATTGGTAATACATCCTTATCACATAAATAGAAATGGCGACCGTCCAAAGCAATTGGAAAAAATGAGTTATTGGCATCTTGACATGACATGCGTTTAGCACATAAAGTACAGTAATTATCTCAAATGATTAATATGAATTGCTACAGGTGATGACACAGCAGTCGCTATTAACGTTAGGCGTGAACGTTTATAGGGTTATAGGTTAAATGTTTGAGGTATATTGGCAAAATATGACACGTACACACGACATTTCAATACCGCATTTCGTAAAATCAATCAGGAAAAAAAAAAGTTTTATCAATTTCAGGATTTTATGACATCAATACGTCTTGATCTGTTCATTACCGTGCTCAACGTCAAACACGACCAATTTCTAGACAATGTATCGAAACATACTGATAACACATCTACTTAAATAGCATACACAAGTATGGGTATAACCGCAAACTAAAACTTGATAACGACACCAACAAGTTAGGGCCATCAAACTTTGTATGTATCAAGTAACATGATGAAAAATAAGACTGAGGATCGGTAGGGGTAATTTTCTTTGAGGGTGGTTGGGGGGGGGGGGGG